TAATCATTTTGTTATATGTCTTTGTAATTTTTTAACGTTTCCACTGTAGTGAGTACTTAATCGCTCATGTGTTTCTATGACTATCGACTTCAAATCAGTCTGTCGGGTCTATATGTAGCTTTAATAACTAGCTTATCTTATTAAATGCACCACTCACCATGTCCTTGACAAAACGATGATGACCTACTTTTTTTGAATCAATTTTTCTCTCCTAGCCTATTAACACTTTTATCATTAGATTATGTTAGCGATTATTTTATTTTTGTCACCTTCGCACTAGATATTTTATTTTTGATTACCGTTATTAGTTAATTCATTGCCTGTATAAAAAGCTTGAGGAATGCTCTTTAGGAAGTTTTTTATACTATTGTTCTGTCTGTCTATATTTTGTTATTTTTGAGTTGTGGACTTTCTATGTCGATTTTCATTTTTACTAAGGGATTTTTACTGAAGCTATTAATACTTAAATATCACTAAGTTAAAGAGAGTGTATTTTTCTTCATTTTCTCATTATTCAGAAATCACAAGATATTATTTTTGCATGACTCTAAAATTAACCTTGCTTCATATGCGTTTTAAGCACGGAGATTGCTTATATTTCCCAGAATACTCTATATAAATAAGGTTTATTAGTCTCCTCCTTCATTGGAGATGCGAATCGTTTTTTTGTTGGTTCAATGCTTCATTCTTGGCAAAAATGAAATACGACTTCTTATATACTTTCTTTTTTTAAAGCGTTACTTTGAGATTACAGTGCTCAGTGTCTGCAACTTGCACAATTATTTATTTTCTTAATTATTTCGCTTCTCTAAAACTCTTGCTTTATGTCTGTGTATGCACATAAACGCATCCTTTTCTTCTATCTTGTTATTCTCTCTCTTTTATATTTTAGACTGCAGAGCAGCAAAGACGACGACGTAAGGCTAAGTCCCGGCCGCGCTATATGCTTCGGGTCACAAAAATCGAACGGGAATCCGAAGGATCTGAGCCTGGTTCTATACGCCCGACGTTCTATTTGGAGATGCCTGATATGAATAATCCATCTAGTGAGCTGTGGAAACTGAGCTTCCGCTGTAACCTTTCAGATACAACAGAGGATATCAAGCTTGTAAATTCATTATTCTTATATTTCATTCAGAAATTTATGTTATTCTTTATTAACATCAGGATAATTTATATCTCGTTTTATGTACAGTGGCTACAATTAGGCGAATTATTACGCAAAAATGTATGCTTGTATTGCTCTCATTGATTTTTGTTTGAATTATTTGTTAAATTGAATTTTCATTGGATTCAAATATATCAAGAAATGCTCAGTTGTAAAGACCCCCTTAATAGATTTATTTTGGTGCACCTTTCATTTCCTTTGGAAAGGCTTTTTCAATCGATACGAAGATACGACATCTGTACAAGTTATTTTCCTGCCTTAAAACTGTTATAATTTCGCGTATTCAATTTTAATTTAATTTTAATCGTGACAATTTTTAGATATCCGATATTTGATGCCTAATGTCATCATAATTCTTCCCATAATTACTCATAATTATTGCACCATCATGTTTGCGTGAAAAATACTTTTATCTTGATAAGGTTTTTCTACTTAATGCATCCTATAACATTTTTGTACGACAGAAGAGTCAGCCCATAACTCAAACGTAACGCTAAATTTTATGAATTTACCATTTAATAAAATCTTTAAAATAATTGTGTATTTTTTCATCTGCCCTTTCCATGAGGTTATAATAAACATTTTCCTATTTTTTCAAAAAATTTCATCAGAATTTAATTCTTTTTCCTGGCTCGTTATGTATTATTATTTGTGATTAATATTTTTTAGGTTCTTCTTCAGAATTCTACAGGTTTCCATTTGTTGGTTTGTTGCGGCTGACCTATTCCCTGGGAAACCCTGCTTGATTGCGATAAAAACGCGTCGAGATTTTCTCTATCATAAGAATATTTTTACCTATAATAGGGAGCTCAACTAACTATTTCCTGCATTGTATGAATGTTGTAAATAAATTCTCATTATTAATTAGTTAATGTGAAAAAATATAATATTAACTGTGAAATTAGAGTGGGATATTTGGATATTTTTGATTGTCTGCTTTATTAAGTAAAATATTTAAGCGTTTGTTCTATCATAACCTTAAAGACTAAGATGGTTTGACCATAGGTCAGTCATACCCTACTCTCAAGCATTTTTCAGAATCAGATCTGGAATTGCATACAGGCCTTTCTCCATTTTCTTCACTTCTCTGCGCTATCCTTAGAACCAACATAAGATTCGTCAAATTTAAAATTTAAGTCAATCCTCTTGGGGCAATTAATGTGGAGTAATCATAGCATATCTTTTCTTTATTTTATATTGTGAAGTTTGGCAACAATTAATAAGGAATAAAATTTTTTGAAAGATATGAAGACAAAGATGGTGTAGCCTTTTGTGTGGTCGCAGTCTACTTTCGTAGTATAGAAGTTGTATGACCTTGTTTTCGCAACTTGGTCATATTGGTAGGAAGACTTAGATGAACGCACTTAGTCCAGAGCCATTATATGCATGATAATTTCCAAAGTCGGACCGTGGACGTGATATATTCCTAGAATTTTCGCCGGCATCGGAGTCGGCATCATCAGTGAGTCTTGCCATTCTTAGCACCATACTACAACTCGTCAAATATGTGCTATACATTGCCAAACTGACTAATCTAATGAAAGAATCCTTGCCTAACTTTTTATCTGTTGTAATTTCAGGGTGTTAATCTGGAGTTAATTCTAAAGCTTTCATTGGCTCGTTTATCGGAATGTTAGTGAACATAGACACTACATCGAAATTTACCGATAAATCTCCTCATTCAATCTTCTGGAAATAAAGTAACCTAATAAAGTCGTAATAGCTATTTATTGAAAACTTAAAAGTTTCAGAGATTTGCTTTACCTCAGAATTTAATATGCTTGATGAAAGAATATCATTCCGACACGGTCAACAATATATTGTTCCAAGTTTCCTTGCAAAAATGTGAAGGGACATATTATAGGGAGATGAGAGAATTACTTAACTTTTTAGATATTTAGTCAGACATGATTTAAGGACTAGGTCCGTTCTACAATTTCTCCTTGTCATGGTCGAACTAACGCTAAACATGCGTTTCATCCCTTTACCAACTTTATGAAGAGTACTTATTGTGTCTCCTTCCGTCCTGCTTTTTACCTATTCTATTTTCTCATATCATCCCCCTTTTTATCACAACTTCTAAATTGCTTTTTGGTCTATCTTGAAGTGCGCCCTTTTGGACGAATTTAGTTATTAATAGTCACATTCCCCGCTACTTTCCTCAACAGCCCTATTTTTCCGAAAATTTTGATCAAACGACCCTTTCATAGTGCATTTTACCTCATTCAGGACCTATCATAGTCTTCGTTTTGCCCTGGAATGCCCATTTCTTAGTTTACCTTTAAATAATTTCACTAGATCACTGCCATCATATTTATGTTGCTCGAGGCTTTGTTCCGCATGATCTGCCTTACGATTTTAATAGCACGTATTCTGTAGCCTCACCAACCTGACCCCTCAAAGCATGGATTCCCAAGCTGGATGAAAGACTAGCATAACACCATACCTACCCATATCTCATTTAAGCCTGTTTACCAGGTCATCTGGTGGTCAAGCTCTTATTTCATGGCTGTATGATCAAACCCGTACTGTAGTTACCTTTCCTTCAAGCTTTCGGACGACATCAGGACTAAGATTAATTTTTTGGAGATTTTAAAATTTTGTGTTTGCATTTTAATATAAATCTTGTCCAATATTCAGATCAGGCTGCTAAGTTATAGGATTTTTATTTTTATCCTCCCTATCTTGGGCAGACTTGTTGCAAAGTATTGCTTAAAGCGAAAATGTCTTTGGAGACTGTTGGTTCCAGGTTTGGTAGTAAATATCAATACTTTAAAATGTGCCCTACTTGCCAGAAGTGCATTTCAATACATCCATGTGGTCTTGGGCCATTCCTATCTTCCATAGCTTCCAATGCTAATTTGTTTTTATTAACCTATTTTCTTTATCGTGAATTTTTAAATAATTGCCTCCAGGTAAATACAGACAATATTCGATTATCGAAAACCTGGAAATTATAATTTACTACCAATTGCTGCTTTCTTTAGCTCAAACTGCTCTAACACTTAGTTCCACAGCCTATTTACTAACTTAATGGAATTAAATTTTCCTACAGTTTCCAGGAGCCAGTCACCAAACTGTTAGTGAGGAGATCATCATGGCCATCAAGGCTGCAGTAGTCTGCATGCTTGAGTCTTTGCGAGCTGATGAACACTCAATTAAGCTGAACCATGATTACATTTTCTACCCGCCCTCTTCGTCATTTAAACCGGCAACCTTTAGCATTCCAGATTCGTCTCTTAACACACAACAATATCATCAAAACGGCCCAGTTTTAGCTCCTCTGTCTTCATCCACATGCCAGACGGCTCTTTGTCTTGATGCCACATTATTAGCAAATTCTATTGCTTCTACTTGCGGACAGCCAATCAACTCTCAACAAAATCTGCTCTTTCATCGCCTTAATCAACTTCACTCACAGCATCAACCATCAAATCAAGTATTTCAATATCTTCCAGTTTCAACTCCAAACTTCCTGGCCTCTAATCAATTTTCGCAGCAGCAACAGGTGATGCAAGCACAACAGCAGCAGGCTCAGCAATATCATCATTTACAGCAGCAGTCGCTGCAGGTGCATCAACATCCTTTGCATCCAGTATATTCAAACTTTTTGCCGCCCATCATTTCGTATCCCTGCGATATTGGTAACCTATTTCTAATTTAAATTTATTACAATATCTCCATCTCTGCCTTTCCTTATGAAATTAATGTCTCTGGGGTTATAGAAGTGCATTGACCTCGTTTTCGAAACTTGGTCTTCTCAGGGCGACTTTGGTTGTCATAATTCCCAGCATCAGACTGCGGACTTGGAAACATGATAACTACTATAGCTGAAGACTTCGGACCAGTTGTATTCACCTAAGTTCCCCTGACAACAATACTAAGTTGAGAAAACGAGGTCAACTCACTTTTTTAAATCAAAAGGGGACTGTGACAATCTTGGTCTTCATATATAGGATTGGTTCACCAATTTAGAAGACTGCATAAGATGTGCACTGACGTTTTCTACTTTTGAAATTATATATACAGTATCTTTTATTTTGAATGAATATCATTTTAGACTATATTACTCAGATAAAATGGATCTTCGTTGTTCCTTTCTGTTGATCAATGCTAGCTTAGATATGCATGCAATCTTTTTCGCATCATATTATGGTTTTATGTCGTATAAGTTAATATTTCCACTATTGCTGCCATACAGCTTAATATGATCCGCCACGTGAGTTAGATTAATTTTTTGTGGAGATGTTTATTTGACGTGATAGAGCATGATCAAAATTGTCGTATTTCGATCTCTTTAGAAGACATCAGCTGATTTCCGTTGTTCTTTAGCCATTTGGCTTTAATAGTACGTTAATTTACAAGCAGTCTGCAAAAACCCTTCCTCGCTCCAAATGAAAACGGGTCGACCCTTCGTCCAGGATATGACTGACATTATCGAGCTGGAATTCGTCTAGTAAAACTTTCAAATTAGTTCTGAGTCATTTTTTAATGATTTAAGTTGAGGCCCTTGGTCTTCAGGCTTTGAAGATGTCTGGCATATGATGGATAAAAACTAAAGTCGTTTTTTCTTGAAACTTGGGGGTCGGTCCTGTGGACTTCGTCAACCTAAGGTTCGTATTAAGGCGTAACGACTACAAAAGAATATAAATTCGCTACAGATTTACAGTTAATTCAACCTACGAATCTCTGCATGCACTTTCATACAAAATGAAAGTCTTCACAACGATATTATCTTAAGAGGTTAATCGAAATCTAGTTTAATTTATTGAACAAAATCTTTGTGAACCGAGGAGTTATTATTTTCACAATTATAATTTTACTGGGAAAATTATTTATCTCAGCCATGATGAGGCATGTATCTTTTTTCCCGAGAGCAATAATTCAAAAAAATTTTCCAATTCTGTCACCTGATGTCTTAAAATTTCCGTGAAACATCATTTGACTTTGCTTTTGACAAAGATTATAAGTGAACGTGGTTCTTATGCTAAGGTCCGAATGACTTGGGAGAAAAGTTGGCATTAACAGTGAATCTACCAACGTTAGCACCAATCTAAAAAGTCGAAGGATGTCTACCCCTTTACCATCTTCTATCTCATTATGTGCACCTATTACATATCGTCGTATCCACTCTCTCACTATCACAACTTATAAACATTATCGTAGTCCAGAGGTGTAGTGTTTTCACCGGATTTTATGAGGCCTAACCATATTCCATACTTATTTTCTCTTTCCCGCCTCCATTGTGCCGGAAATTTTTATAGGCATTATCATGAAGCATTTTGAGTGCCATTTGGAATCTGCTGAACAATAAGAGTAGTTTATAGAAAACAGACTCTGCATCCACTCTTGTCAGGAATAGTTTTTTTTCTTCCATGTTCTTCCAACCATATTATTAATAATTTCGCATATTAGTATGGCCACAATCAACCGAGACTAATCACGCAAATGTCTAAACATTTACAAGCTGAAGATAGGTCCGATAAATTGAACAATTAAATAGGGTCTAGTTTAATGTACCATCATATTTAAACAGAGTATGCATTCAGAATCATTATCAAGCAGAGACATCTCTCCCATATTTGTTATTGAAAGTGATTTTCATTAGCATGAGCTATCTTATATGTCAATTCGTTTGATTTCCATTTAGGATAAAAATATTTGGCCTACTGATTCTTAATTTTTAACCATTCTAACTGAATCGCATCGTTTAGCCAAAAAATCGTAGAAATAAAACCCTAATTTGTTGGTTCTTTGCTGATTTCTTGCATTTGATTTTAACTATAAGAATCGGTATGCATTTTGGAAGTACTCTATTGTTAAGTAAGCCTGCCAAACTGTTTAATCACTGATAGGTTCGAAATGTTCTTAAATGTAATTGACCTTAAAGGATGATCCTCATTACTACAAAGATTTGATAATTTTTCATGATTATTTCTTTATATCCCTAGTAAATGACGATGATGATGAGGCTGCCAGCGACCTCTCCCGGCCTGCCTCGCCTATTGAGCTCAGGTCACCTTTTCATCCCGAGGCCGAGCTTATAGTAGGAGCTTCCTCTAACCATGACGAGACAATTTCTAGCTCAGCCCTTATTGGCAGCTCTGGAACTGGCGAACCTCTTGACTTTTCAGCTACTCACTTTACCCCAGCATGTCAAACCACCGCTTCCTCGGGTCTGCAAGAACATATTGGAGATTCTTTAGCTGGCATACTTAGCTCTGCTGCTTCTCAAGATCTCTATACTGTAGGCGAAGAAGCGGCATCTTCGTCAACTCCAAGCTACCAAACGGCATTCGACGAGGTCGCTCCAATAACCAGCACTCTAATTCTCCCCGGGGGTGCGTCTTCCACTGCCTGCGTATTCGCAACCGCCGCACCTTTCACTTCCTCTTCTTCTACTCTAACTGGCGCTCATTTTTTTTCACCGTCCATATTCCCATATTTAGGTGTGCCATTTCCTTCCCGTCTGTGGCAAACCTTTACTGAGTCTGTTGGCCTTCGTCAAGAGTCTTCTATCGCAACTGCCGCTGTTATTTCCTCTCCTAGTACCACTGCAACGACTCAAGGATCCATTGGACAGGGCACTGAAATACCCCATGTAACCCTTTCTACCAATCAGCCCACTGTAGATAAAGCTGGCCAAACAGAGTCTTTTCCTCAACCTGTCAGTCCTACTTCGCTGAATCGCAACGGGTTTGTCACTAATTCTTCTTGTACTGGAAGGCCTACCGAGTTTAGGCCTGAAATTGGTGTTAGCGCAGTTAGTCCTGGTCCTGCAGCTTGTGGCATTGGTTCCAGTTGTGGAGTCGTTGATGTTGGAATTTCGCCCTCTCCATCTGCCTCATTGTCATCAGCTTCCTCAATGGCTTCTTCTTGCCTCCATCCACAACTAGCCACTTCAGCCGATTCTGGATTGTTGCTGCCGCCCGAGACATTTAGCCAAACACCCGTCCACTTATTTGGCATACCGGTCCCTGTTGGCTTTGAAGATGCTTTGCGTGAGCTTGTCACTCGTCTATCTTCTTCGCATCGTAATCCACTTATCATAGTTCCGAGTCGTCAATGTCCATTAATTGTTCCGCCCTTAAGCTCTGCCGCCCCATCTGCAGGCTTATCAGTTCCTCCAAATCCTGATAAGATTTCGCCTGTCCGTCTACTCGAGGTTCCTGATGATCACATATTCATCGGTATATGTCGTCGGCCGCTGGATGAGCCCGGTGAAGAAATTTCCGGTAGCGCTGTTAACAGTAACTGCGGCATCACTATAGCAAAGTGTATCAAGGATCGAGCATTCGTGGTTACTCAGGAGACTCAGGCAGACGGTGCAGTTCAGCCGCGTATATACAGGGCTCCTGCCCAAGGTGCCGTTATATTGACGCCATCTGGGGAGATTCATCTTGTGGAACGTGCAACTCTGGTAGTACCGGTCCCACCAGTAGGAACTTCATCGTTGACTGAAGAAGATGGTCAGTTATTTCATAATTTCTTTTTATTCATCTAATCTATCGCTCCTTAAAGATCCTTTTTTACCAAAACAGATTCTTATGCCTTTTTTACGTTTCTTTTTTCACTAAGCCAATGAAAATTCTAAAATATATAAAATCATTTTTATACTTTGGATATCAACACCAATGTTCCTTAATTCGAATAAATTCAAAATTTGTTTTCTTATTTCTTAATAATTTTAAGACCTACGTTTGACTTATTGGTTTGTATTATGTCTTGTGATTTACATTCTTTTAACTAAACTTATCCTAATTTTTTCGCATTATTTGGAAATTCCCATTCCTAGGTAAAAATGCAAGCTTGCAATCGCGAGAAATAGGGAGCGTGAAACTTCGTGAGCTGCCTCTTCCTGCTGATATAGAATCTCTTAGTTTTGATGACGTCATTAGTCTTATGCTCGCAGTTCGCAGTATGACTCATTTGGGAACCGGAGCAGCTAGCTTCGCCGGCACTGCGGAAGGACTTGGTTTTAGTGGTTTCAGCAGCGCTAGTAACATTTGCAGTAACGTTGGTTTCTGTTCAGATGGTGGAGGTACCGGCGGGATAGTAAGCGGTGGAATGGGTGGGACTGGAGCTGTTTCTTGCGGACTGGAAATGTCTTTGTCTATCCCAATCTCTTCTGGTATGCTGACTTCAGGTATTTCTATTCCTTCGGAACCCCAACAACCCAACCTTGGCTTATTAGTCGGCACATATAACCAATCTCAGATTCACCAACTCCAGCAACAACCACAACAAAATTTACTTGGTCAAAAGCACATTCATCAACACCAGCAGCCATTGACTCAGTCCAATCTGCTTCATGCCACACCTGATCTGCCTCCTGCTGTCAGAAGTTGTTTATCTCCACAAGCCCTTACTATGGGCGAGACCACTCACTTTCCCTGTGACTATTCGAACACTGGCACACTGACTGCTGGCCCAGCTTGTGTAGATTCGTCTGGGCTGATAACTTCGGCTCCGAGTCTTACGAATGTTGGTATACTACCAGATACACAGCCGAAACTACTGGGGGTGATCGGACCCAATGACACTTTTTTGGCCACCCCTTCCACAGGGTCTGACTGTCCCTCTGTTACTTGTCCTCTTATAACCTCCCAGCCTGTATTAGGCCAGGCTAGGCCAACTCCCGACCAGCATGGCCAGACGCAAGTACAATTCGGCCAAACTCATATTCAGCAATCACAACAACAGCAGCGACAACTTGACGAATCTTTTATTCCTCACAAGACTAATGATCGATTAAACCCTGCAGTTTCAGTTGACCAGGCTCTATTAGCCAGGTATCAACAGCTAGTACTCGCTAGCCTAATTCTTCAACAACAGCAACAACAGCAACAGCAGCAACAACAGCA